GAATATGAGCATATGTCTACACAAAAGCTTGCACTTATATGCTCACTGTAATAGCCAAAAACTGGAAGCCATCCAAATGACCACCAATAAGTGAAAGGGCGAACTAGTATCTCCAATCAGTGGAATACTACTCATCATTAAAGGGGAATGAACTATTGAACCACAGAGGAATGTGGATTAATTTTAAAATAATTCTTAGTGAAAGAAACCAGACAAAAAATATTGCATAATGTATGATTTCACTTAATATAAACTTCTAGAAAATGCAGATAATTTACAGTAGGCAAAAGGAAGTCAGTGGGATGGGAGGAGAGTAGGAAGAGGTATAGAAAGGAATTGCAAAGGAGCACAAGGAAACTTTTGGAGATGATCAATCTGTTTATTATTTTGATGATTATTATGGGTATATATATATGTCAAAAAATCAAATTACATATTTGAATTATGTGCAGTGAATTGAATGTCAGTTATATCTCAATACAGCTGGAAATTAATAAAAGAAAAAATTGTTGACACAGATCAGAAGGAAACCATACACGTTTAAAGATGATTTTTTTAAAACTTAATGAAAAATGTTATTTATATGAAGGAAGACCTCAAAGAAGAAGTACAAGAATTTGGGTAGAGATGTTAAAATAGCAGGACACAATGAAAATGAAAAATGATTTGGTTGAACTAAAGAAAGAAATAGAAGAAATATATGAAATCATGCAATTGCAAAAAATGCAAGTGCAAATTATCACTCTGGTAAACACAGTGGCAATACAGAGCAGGGGTCAGCAAACTACTACCATTGGCCAAATCTAGCTCACCACCAATTCATGTATGGCTCTCACACTAAAAAATTATCTTTACATTATTGGATGGTTAAAAAAAAGAATATGCAACAGAAACTGTTCATTTGCCTGAACAGTCTAAAATAGCTACTATCAAGCTCTTTACAGAGAAAGTCTGTTGTCCCCTGCTACAGGGTATAAAAGTAAAAAATCAAATAAAATGGATAGAAGTTAGGAAGAAATTGCTTATAGTTACAAAAATAATGGCAATAAAAATAGGAAAAGGAGATCCAATATTTGTATAATTGGGATATCCAAAGAAACATTAAGGGGAGAACAAATATTTAAAGACATAAATCTGTAAAATTGCTCACACAAAAAATAAAACTTGAAGCTTCATATTTGAAACAGTATACTATGTGATAGAGGAAACTTTCCCAGAGCAGCAATAAGATATATCCTAGTAAAATTTCTCAACTTACAGTTGAGTAGGAAAAAAAATCCTTTGATGAATAAGCATAAAGATCAAATCAGTTACAGAGACAAAAAAATTTGTATTAGTTTTCTTCAAGAAAAGGAGGTAAAGGCCAACAATTTTATATTTACCATGCCATTCTTCAAATAAAAAGCCTGCAAATAAATGGTTTTGAAAATAGGAAATAACTCAGGAAATATTATTCTCATGATCCATTTTTGAGGAAACAAAGATCAAACTTCAACCAGCTGAGAGATATCTAAAAATTTCACAGCCAAGAAAGGGCAATAAGCATTGACTATTTTTAACTATAGAACTAAGACTAAAACATGTGACATTAGGTACTAAACTGAATTAAAGCCCCTGGCAATGTAGAAATAGTTCAAGTAAAAAAAAAAGAGTTCAAGAATGAAAGAAGGTGAAAGGTAATTTGTTTGCAGCATCTGTAACAGAAAAGAAAGAGGGATCATTTAAGCAGTTTAAGAAAACTTTTTGGTACTAATACAAACACTGAGAAAGAAAACATAATATCTGCCTAAAAATAGAACTAAGAAAAAAGTATTATATAAAGTCATATAAAATATAACTAAAAAATAGTAGTCACCAGGAAAAAAAACCCTGCATATATCAGAAGTACACACACAAAACAAAGAAAATGGACTATATTATTAAAAACTTAAGAGAAATCATAAAAACAAAGTAATATGATGACTAATACCAGACACAAATATATCAATTTATGTGTGAATAAATATAAATGGTCTCAGCTTACCTTAATAAAGGATAAGAACTTCACATTATATCACAAAGCGAAGACTAAGCTTGGATTATATATAAGACACCCATCTAAAATGGTAATTCAGAAAGGCTGAAAATGTTATTTTAGACAAACAGACAAAAATAAAACAGAGGTCCAACCTAATTGTCAGACAAGTTGAAATTCAAGGGAAAAAGCCTTAAGCAGTTCAAGCAAGGGCATTTAATTAGTTTTCAGTTCACAATGAGGATGTACTAATTACAAATCCCTCACATCAGGCAATGTATTGTTGAGTTTCATAAAGCAGAACCTACAAATGATATACGGAAAAAGAGATAATCATACTAGTAATAGTAAACTTTAATTTGCTCTCAGCCTAGGAATACCTAAATAACCAATAAAAATAACATTGCATATAAAGTTTCAAAATAGAAAATATGTGTACCAAGTGTTCTCAGAATATTCACAAGAATGACCAAATGTTGGACCATCAGAAAGCCTGGTGGAGACATTTTAGCAGTGTTTATCAAAGTTTCAAATACATATACCTTATGACTTGAAGTTTCACTTTCAGAAATTGATACATAGGCATACCCAAATATGAAATTACCTACTTGCAAAATTACTTGTTTTACAAGTCATTGCAAAATATTTTGTCTAGAAAAATATTGAGAAAACCTAAATGTCAGTCAACAAGTATAGTTAAATACAATTTTTTACAGCAACAATACATTAGAATCCAATTCAGTTGTAAAAGGGCATGAAGAAGGTTTTTAAGTACTAATAGAGAAAGATCTCTGGGATAGATCCTTAAGTGAAAAAGCAAGATACAGACTGTGTGTATAATATAAAGTCATTTTTTTCTCCCTCAGAAAGGGAAATTTATGTATGTTCATACAGTGTATAAACAAATCTCTAGAAAAATAAACAAAAAGTAGCAGCAGTGGTTGTTAGTGGAATGTGAAGTGGACAATAGAATGGACTAGTAAGGAGACTTAAAAAATATACTTCTTAAAATGTATGTTGTTCCATGTAAATATATTATCTATATCGACATCCTAAAAGGACTACTGCAGTGAGGCCATAGAAGATAAAGTAAATAATTATCTTTGGGGGATTGGAAAAGGAACTCTGAGTGGGTAATATTTGAACTGAGACTTGAAGGAGGAGTGAAATTTGACAAATGGATAATATTGGAAAGATCATTACAGGCAAAGAAAGCAGGTTAAACAGACATGAGAACATGGAAGTGAACCTGTGGAATGGTAAAGGAGATTGGGAGTTAAGTCATTGAGGGCAGCAGCAGGTGTCAGAGGATAGAAAATGGCTCAGAAGAGGAATTTAGAAAGTTAAGGTGTAACTATTTGAAAGCAGCTTGTAGGTCATCCTAGGTGCTGTTTGGTTCCAGAATAAAGTTAAGTTGTATGTCTGCTTTGTGCCATTGCATGTGCTAGTTGCTGAAGAAATGCAACTCTGTCTTCTAGGCTAGGGGTTTGCAATCCTGACTGCATACTAGAATCACTAGGGGAGTTTTAAAAAACACTGATATCAGGATCCATCCTACACAACTAAATTGACATTTTAGGGTGTAAGGACTTGGCATCTATTTTTTTAAAGGCTTACCAAGTGATTCTAATCACATATGTCCCATTTTGAAAATGCCTTCCCTCTTCTTTCCTTCTCCTCTTCCTTATTTTAATAAAGAAAATAATATGTGTAGAAAGTGGTTTTAATATAGGTCTACAGAAATCTGAACTAGAAGCAAGAAAATGAGATTATAGACAATACGTCAATCAAAAGATGATAAAGGCCTTTAAAAAGCATAATGACTTGATGTGAGTGCAAAGTTTAAAATTTAAAGGAGATTTAAGTGGAGAATCCACAGGGCTTGATCACTGAGTATGTGGATGGGATTGAGACTGATGATGAGCCAAGGATAACCTAGCTCAGATCTGGGTGTTGGGTGATGTCACCAGGCAAAAGGTGAAATGTACCAGGAGATACTGGTTGGGGCTGGGTACAGGTGCAGAGGTGAAGTAATTCCATTTGGAAGGGTTATCTTAAAGATATCTGCAGCTTGAAAGATGCACCAAGGGGCTTTTGGATCTCAGGAGAGAGGAAAAGACACCATTTCAGAAGTTTTCAGCAGACAACAGATCCAACTCTCAGAGTCAGGACTCCAATTTGTAAATAAGTACACTTGCTTCTAAGAGCAAGGTAAATTTCTGCCCTAGAGAATCTGGACAGTGAGCTGGATACCATGATGTCGTCAGTGGCACGGTGAAAGATAATGTGCACTATAAAGGAGGTGTAAGCAGGCCCCTGATCAGGGTCTCATCCCAAGGGGAGTGAACCTGGGACTGGGGTGTAGGGCCTGCATTATTCTTTATCTTCTCTCTGTGTATTTTATTAACATCTCTTTTTAGTGTTAACAATGATCACTTCAAAATATTAACTTAAAAGGCACCTTTTTTCAGGAAGATTAAATGTTTCCTCTCTAGATATGCCTCCGAGTACATGGCAACTGGTGGACTTGGGGAATAAGGTAGCAACCAGTTATAAGGGAAGGAGTTAAGGCCACTCTGTGCTAAGAATTCCCTGAAACTCAGGTCCTGAGCTCTGAAATGGAGTTTTTGTTGGTCAGATTAATTCCATATGCTGGGAAATGCAAATGGTGAACAAAGCTTCTCCAGAGAGGGGAGATGAGGGCTGTGGAGACACTGTTTGATACACTGGCACCCTGAAATTGCTCATAGGACATTTGATCTGTAATGCTTCAAAAAAACCATTGGATTCTTTTGTACTGTCCAGTCACCACTAACTGGAACATTGTTACACTGTATCTTAACTGAAAGGGACCCCCTTAAATAATTATTAGTAAGGGTAGGCAATCTTGAAACATCTTTAAGAAATGAGGAATATTGAACTTGTAATATGCCAATTGAAAGTTATTTTTATTTACTTTTGTTTAATGATTTTTTTTCCATAAAAGCCTCAGTTTATACCGATAAGTAGGATCACTGAGTTCACTGCCATCCGCCAAACTTCAGAATCTAAGGTGAGTAAAGTAGTATTGACTCATTTGTGTCATATTTCCTATATGAATGATAAAATTTGTGAAGGTTAAAATGTCATCATGGTTTTTGGGGTTCAGAAAGTGAAGCACTAATAAATTTTTTCAATTGCCATCATTCTTTGTCTTATTGGAGTGGTAATTGTTCATTAGGGAAAACATAAATAAGAAAATTTAAGTCAGTCTGGAGATGATGACCACTTAAAATATGTTAAATATTTCTTTCCAATGTTTTCTATGGATGTATTTTAGAGGCAGGAAGGGAGAGAGACATTGATTCAATCTATGGATGTATATTTGCCTAGAAATATGTTGTATATGAAATTCCTACATTATTTTTCATACTTGCTAACTGTCATATTACATTATATTCCTCAAATGTCTGTTATCTAAAATTCAAAGTTTAGAGAGAATATTCTTGAACTTTTAGAGTGTTTCAGTTAGACCAATCATATATAAAAAAAATATGGAAAAGAAAAATTTTAGTTACTCTCATTTCTTAACAGTTAGATGATGGGATTGATAAACCCCAGCCAACCTTTAGATAAATAGATTACTGGTATATATATGCACTAGGGATTCAAAGGCAAGTAAATCTCTGTTGGGAAGAAGTGAGGAAGCACACTATGCTCTTGTCTTGGGGTCTTCTGTTCCTCCAAAACCGTATTTCTTGACTCAGCCCAGCTCTGCTGGAACAAATTCTGAATGAGCCATTACAATAGTATATATTTGTTGAAACCTATTTTCTGAGGCTCTGCTCTTTAAAGTTTTTATTAGTAGTAAATGTCATAAGGATTTGAGGGAAATGATAATTAATTACAAATAAAATGGCAACCAGAGACTAAAAACATGTTCTTTGTTATATAAGGAAAATACAAAAACTCAGAAAATCAGGCCTTTGGATGATGACTTGAAGCATGAATCTGCTGCATCCTTTGAGCTTTTGGTCAACCACAGAGGCTTGAAAAGAAACACAGAAGCAACAGACTCTGATGTAGAGTACATCTCAGAGACTAAGATTATGAAGAAGTCTGTACAGAAGAAAGCGAAACCTCAACCACAGAGACACCCAGCAGCCCTGCAGGAAAATGCCAGACTAGCTGAGAGATCCCAGGTGGGGTCTTTTTCTTATTCACAAAATGTATAATAATTCACTTATTCCAGAAATAGTATTTGGTAAAGGTTTAGCTTCATTTTCACTTTTTAAAAGTACTCTAATTATAGCATACACATTGTAATCTGAGTTTCCTGGACAAGGTTCCAATTTCTACTTTCTCCTTCTGTATTCTCTCTTTTTGGAGATTGCTGACATCAGCATATCAGCCCAGTGTGTGGAGAGCACAACCAACTGAAGGGCCCCAAAGAATGCCTGGATGGAAAAAGGACTTAAATTTGTATATAAGAAAGAAACATTCATGTAAGATAATACTCTAATCTTGAGGATTTTGCATTCAATTCTTTATAGCAAAAATTCTTAGCCAGATTCTACGGTAGGTAGTTACCCCTATCGTCAAGGTTGGCGCATGCAAACTACCATGAAACACAACAACAAAATGGTATAGTGTCAGTAATACGGCTAAGCCTTGAGAGTGATTTTAACAAATGTTCTATCCCAGGATTTCTATGAATTCAAATAAGTTTGTTTCTTTTGAAAGAATGACTACACTTTGATTCTTACAATGTCCCCCTTTTTAAATTCCTTTTTGAGAATCTGTCCTCAGATTCAGTTTATAATAATAAAAATACCTATGGTTAAGTGGGCATTTTTTACCCTGTGCCAGAGTCCATGCTAAGCTATTACAGACATTATCTCACTACTATTTAAATCTTTTATAAGCCAAAATTTATTGCCTAGTTTATCTGTTTTGTTCATCAAATTTGACTTCAAATGCCTTTTTTTGCTGTTTCCAAAAATTAAATTCACCCTTAAATGGTGGATATGGGCCACCATAGCAATATTGAAATTGCCATAGGCTCTGAAAGCTCATTTGATCAAGCAAGTATCTACTAAACTACGGCTCTGTCTGAGATTCTTACTGTGTTCAGCATTGAGGGAGATAAGATATTTCAGGCATGTACTCTTTCAGAAGGAATTATTCTGAACAGCAGTTATAATATGGAAATATCTCACACATTCCTTTGTAATATCTTAAGTCCAGTTCCCTATAATTTTGAAGTTTGGGCCCTAAACTTTTCTTTAGGACTATAGAAGTCAAGCTGAATTGGTCTACAATTGTCAGAATTTTCCTTTAATTATGTATCATATACCTATAAGTTCATATATTCAGCAGATATTTATTCATTCCTTGCTTGCTATTTCCCAAATACTGCATGTTTGTAATATAAAAAGTAGTTTTGTCACTTTATAGTCATATCTCCTTGAACCCTGATTTCTACTCATTAACTGTGCAGTTTTAAGATTAGTGATTTGTTGTGTTTTATGGTAGGCTGCATACTCCCAAAACATACAAGTAATTGAGAAGTTGAAGTGTGCCCAGGTATCAGAATAACACATTTTAAACTTTAAACATAGAGATTTACTTAGCATAGTATGTATACAAATATGTTCATCTATTTTTGCCATTCAGGATGCCAGCTACTAGGGATTCAACTATGAGCAAACCACATACAGTTCCTGCCACCACTGAACTTATGTGGAGACAAACAATCCAATAATTATGGAGATGTATAAACTGCTGCTGTGGCAGTTTTTATGACTTAGTTGCACAAGTACTTATAATAGGGGATTGGACTGTCTAGGAAGACAAGGGAGTCTTCCCTGGAAAATGTGATGACTGAACTTTTAGAATTGAATTCCAATTATTACATTGGTAAAAGGAAAGGAAGAACATTTTCCAGCACTGTGAACATTTGCTAATGAGGGAACATGGTAAATACAAGTACCTTAAGGAGCCAACTAGCTCTGGAGAGACAGAGGGATTGAAAGGGAGGTGAGTAGGGAGTAAACAGAAACATACACATCCTATAGCCTTTGATAAGGGCTTTTGCATTTATTCTAAAAGCAGTGGGAAACCGGAGCATGAGTTCAGCTTTCACAGTTGGTGACTCCCAAGAGGACATTGCAAGTAAGAAGTAAGAGTAAGAGGAAAAGAAGGACTAGACAGAAACTTGAGGGATTTTTAGCGTGTTATCTCTAGCTGTTGGAGAATAAATGTGCACTGGTGATTATGAAAAAATGGCAAAGCAGTAGGAGGAGGAACCAGGAATTTGTTTTAGCATTAAAGTTAGGAGAGGAAAAAAAGGGAGGCTAAATTTTGTTGCGAGGCCAAAAGGCCAAAGAAGTCTATTGACTTAATGACTTAGAGGTAATAGGGACGATCTCAGATAGAATTTTATTGTTTTTTGTTTGAATGAAGAAGGTAGAAACTAGATTGGAACGGGCTGACTAGCAAGTTAAAGGTGAAGAAATGGAGACAGGTTGTACATCAACTGTTGAAAAGGTAAGATAATTTAACTTTAGAAGATAATCTGTACTTAGGAAAATCTAGAAGTGAGGTGGAAGCAAGAGAAGACAAATTCTTTTCAAGCATTTGAACAATGAATTCAGGTTTTAAACTGCAATTGAAACAACTTTCAGTTACTTGAGGATTATTTGCACTAAATTTCTAATATTCTGCCCAATAAACACAACACTAGGCATTACCACTACCAGAGGAGATGCAGCAATCAATTTTAATGTTAGCCTAAGTAGATGGAATTAGGAAGGCAGATATGCCCTGAGTGAATCTTAACATGTGTTCTAAAAGCTTGGTAAAAATGGCTCTGGAATTAGCTAATGTTTTAGCTTTTATGTACACAGTTCAGCTCTCTCTATTAATACAAGCAATTAATGAACTCTTCTCCTTTGAGCATCATTTTTACCACATCCTTGTGTTTCTCAAAAGATTCCACATTCTTTATCCTAAACAACTTCCCCCATTTACTGAAAATCAGGCTCCCAATAAAAATAATATATTTATTGTTTCCTACATCTGCAACTTTTAATTCTTTTGAATTTTCCTCTAATGCCCTTTGTTAATTCATTTCACTCAACAAACATACATTAAGCATTTACTTTGGGCCAGGGGCCGAGGACTCAGAGATTGACATAATTCTTGCCCTCAAAAATCTAACACCCTAGACCATTCTAATCAAAGTAGACCTTTCCCTGTATCATAAATTTTCCACCCCAGTGGTTTCCCACTTTTTATATTTTAGAACTTCTCAGTATCAAAAAATGACTGTAGACATCTCACATAATAGCAGGTATGTCTAGTATCCACTGATTAAGAACTACATAGTAAGAGAAAGTCATCATAGATATTTTGAAATAACTGTATGTGTTATTTCCCCAGAAACATCTACAAAAATTTTAAGAATGATGTATATATACTTATGAAACAGTATCTTTTCAGTATATGGGCAGTAATTCACACATATTCTTTGCAAAATGCTATAGGCCCTTTGATACATTGTTGAGCACCATAGTTTACACCACTCATTTCACACTTAATTTTCCTTATTTTTTTTTTTATTGTTGTGTATTGTTAGTTAACCTTTATCTGTGCTTACCTAAGTCACATGCTTCTTCAGGGCAAAAATCAAAAACTGAATTTCCTCTGTTTATCCTACAGAAGTCTGCTTCTGTACAGAAGTTATTAGAGGTGGAATGAAGGTGGTTCAGTGTGTACCATTGATTGCTACTAATCCTTGTATATTTTTTGTTAATACCTTGCTATAGGCCTCTTCTTGGGAAATGAAAAAGAAGCAGAGTCAAAACCTTGTGCACGAATGTAAAGCTTTGATCGAAACTGAAGCCAGCAACAGCAGCCCAGACGTGATCCTGGTGAGATAAACTTTACCAACTAACTGGAGTTTATTCACATATGTAAAGATTAGAGGAATCCGAAAACTATTTCACATTAGTGCTTCAAAGTGACTGAAACATTTAATTGAACAACCTAGTTTTTAGATGAAGAAATAAGACTCAAAAATGTTAGTTACTTATATAGTCCAAGGCTATACAAACTAGTAAAAATATAACTGGGAATTATGCCTCCTGATTGCTAGTCCATGATGCCTTTCATTTTAGTTATTGGGGTGAGAAAGCTTTAATATTATGTAAATATATACAAATTATATACACACATGTGTGCATATGTGTGTGTGTGTATGTATATATATGTATATATATATATGAAACTTGAAAGTCATCTGCAAATCTGCATGCCTAAATCCAGAGCGTATAATCTTTCTGTAATTTGTAATAGGAATTCTTATCAGAAAGTGTAATTCTGAATTGACTTAAGTTAGGCCCATGCCAAAAGCTCTGCTGAGAAAAGTCTATTCCAGAAATATGGACATAGTTTCTGTTTACTCCCCTAGATTAAGTATCCCTGATTCTAACTTGGTAGTTGAAATCAAAGAGCTACATACCTGAACTACTGTACCATACATCCCAGGAGAGGTGCTTGCCCTCACTGAACCAAGTGTAAAAACCCTTGGCATTTAAGAGGAATTAACTCAAGGACTGGCCATGTGAGGAACCCTTCATCTATGAAGTCATATTAAAGGCATTGTCTATTATGTTATTATGTTCTTTGTGCTATAATAAAAAAGTTCACTTAGATGTTAAAACTTAAGGTCAAGAAAAAAATATTCAGTATTTTCTTTTGTCAGAATATGGATTTTATTACTCACTAATAGTTCTCTTTTTACCTTGGTTGCCAAGAAGCTTAGAGCTAAACGTGAAAAACTATAGTCACCTAGATGGTTGCTATATTTTGACATGATAATGCAAGTGAGAGTAATTAGGAAAGAGCCTGGCCTCATTGTGCATGTCTTTAGGATAGGTACCTCAAAATGCTATTTGGAATTGTAGATTCGGTTCCAATTACAAATGACCCAATAAGGAACATAAGTGACTTCTGACTTTAGCCTAATTTCTGTGCCCTTCAGCAGAAAATCATTGTCATAAAGTACATAGTATAACAATAATGGGTTTTATTTTTAAAAACTTTCATTATGGAAAATTCAAACACAGTACAATCAACTCCTTTGTGCCCATTGCCAAGCTCTCCAACAATGATCAGCTTATGGACAGTCTTGTTTCATCCATATCCCCTCTCTGTCCATATTGGTCCTGGCTTCATGTCACCTCATCCATAATTGTAATTGTTTTACGAAACCAGCTGAAAGGATGTTGAAAACATCTAGGAGTGATTTGTGAAAGAGAGCAGGAAAAAACCTTCATGTTGGCAATAAGAAACAACTAAATCCAGGATGTGAAGAAAGGGAATGCCAAAGAATTTTAAAAGGAAAAGGGTCAAAATTTAATCAGAAGCCAGAAAAGAAGAGAAAACTGAAACTAGCCTTGTAAATAACGCCACCTCTATTTATGTCTGAAGCCAAATAGGATACAGCTTTATCTGTGAACAGTGCCAGCCACCACCTGGTTTGCAGAGTCTTTAACATCCTGGTGTGTTTTTCATGTATCCATTGCCCTGTTACTTTGCTAGTCTTTGCATGCAGGTTTTAGCAAGTGCTTTTTCATAAATTAGGTATGACACTTACATTAAAATTATGTGAACAGTGCCAGCCACCACCTGGTTTGCAGAGTCTTTAACATCCTGGTGTGTTTTTCATGTATCCATTGCCCTGTTACTTTGCTAGTCTTTGCATGCAGGTTTTAGCAAGTGCTTTTTCATAAATTAGGTATGACACTTACATTAAAATTATTGTTGTCTTTTTATGTAATATTTCTCCAGTTCTGGTGTTACTTGTGTGTATGTGTGTGGTGTGGTTATTTGTGTCCCTGTGATCTTAGCAGGAAGTCTCCTTTCAAACTCATGGTGTCTAATTAATTTGAGTAAATATGCATTATCCAAAGATGCACATTAATTTCTCTGTTGGGCTGTAGTTGAGTAAAGCCAGTAGGAAATAATTTCTTCTGAATGGTTGTCTGTACTTTCTTATATTTGGAAATTATATAAAGTGATTCTTCTTAAACCCCTGGGCTCCTTTCCCATTATCTTCTTTCCTGTCTGTCTTTCTTCTAATAGGACCTGTATGTGTACATATACGGACGGGCACATGCTTTAATTCTGACTCTGTACCTGTCAAATGTAAAAAGGAAGGCATTCAAGGCTTACAGTGCTACTAGAGATGATCACTTAAGGAAGACTGATTAGCTCCCACGCAGGTCACTCTCCCACCCTCTTGAAGCCAGGTGGTTTTTATTATTTTGGTGAATTTATTGAAGCCCAGAGCCCAAATCTCAGTTGTAATGGCCTCAGAAATATATGTTCAGCACACCACAGGAAGTCCGTCTTGCAGGGATGATTTCACATTATCCAAACCCATGAAATTGTTGTGTGATACCATAATGGCCGGACAGGCATTAAAGGTAAACATAGCCTCAGTGCCCTTGGGACACACACTGCCTGAAGCCCGGCATTCTCTCCCTAGTCTATGTGGGCTGCCCTCTTACACTCTGGCAGCAGCTGGTGAGCTCTGTGCCTGAATATTTAAAAGGCTTCCCCCTAAGATGAGCTGCTATGTCCATCTCCCCAAAACAGATGACAGGTATGGGCACTTCTTTTTACTGTCTTCCAGGTTTTGAGCACACCTCACTCTGGCTGTGGTACTGATAGTTGTGTGATTTCAAGTGGAATGATTATATGGATTATCTTTCAGATTAATACTGAATCTGACCACTAAAGTGGCCCTGGCCCAGCACCCTCACCCTGTGTCTACCTGTACACCCATGAGAGCCCTTTTTCCACGTTGTATGGAGAACAATTCCATTCAGTGCATTTTTTTATTTTGTTGTGTTACTAATGTCAGGCTACCTTTTGAAAGGATGTTTGTCATTTTAGGGCACTTCTTTTTACTGTCTTCCAGGTTTTGAGCACACCTCACTCTGGCTGTGGTACTGATACTTGTGTGATTTCAAGTGGAATGATTATATGGATTATCTTTCAGATTAATACTGAATCTGACCATTGCTGATTATCTCAGCCATGTTTTCATTCATTCCCCAAAATCGCCTCATCTGCTGTGGCTCAGGGTTATAATAGTTTGGTGTTTTCCAAAATTCTACCACCTCCCATTCCCCCTAATTCCTGATTGAATGCTCTTTAAATTTCTTTTTCTCCAAGACCTACATTTTTTGAAAAATACATCTTTTGTTTTTTCCTTTTCCCAGTGGGATAATTGTTATTTTCTAGTTTTTTTAAATGTTTGTCTCTTTGTTCTACCCAGTGTATCACATTTAACATGCTCCCAAATCATTCACATGGCCTTGGACTTCATTTTCTTTGTCTCTAGTCATTTCTGATCACATAGTTTGCACGTGTTACTTGTGTAGCAATTTTCCTTTTTGATATTAACTTATGGTTGGCCTTTCAGCCAGCACAGGCCATTCATTTCAAAGTCCATGCAGTGAGTGTGTTCTTGGTTAGACCTTGCATGTCATTTGGAGCTGTGGAAGTCTCCAACTGGGATTCAGTAAAAACTCCAGGCATTTTCTAGAGATTAAAAAACTGCCATGGAAATAATGAGGAATTTATTTAAAGAACATCTTAATCCTCTTCAAAATGCCCTAGATAGCCTCCCAGTTGGACCTTTGGAGACGTTATGTATGGTGCTATCAGTACGCACTGCAGCAAACTTCTTTCATTATTTTTCACAGTCTTGTCAGCACAGCTACAAGATTTCCTCTACCATTTCAGGGTAATTAGTGTGATCCAGATTTATTTTCTCTGCCCCTGTAAAACCATATTTTTCTCAAATTCTGCGGGGAGTCTGCATGCATGAGTGTTTCAGTGGAGTTAGCCTTACTCTTCTATGTGGTCATGATGAAATTCAGGGATGGTACCTCACATGTATCATCTCATCTAATCTTTTTAATAATCTGAGGGTAAATTCTCTTACAGATGAGGAAAATAAACTTGCTCCGGGCCTCACTGCCAGAAAGCAGTCACCTTGAACCTTAGCCATTCGACTTCAGGTTCCACTTTCTTAACCACTCCTCATTATGACGCCTCTCTTTATCATCCATATTAATACACTGTCCCCACAGCAATTCAGCCAGCCCATTCCAGGCAGGTTGGTTGGAGCACGTGAATACACTTTGCTCAAGGGTGAGGATTTCAAGGTATAAATAAATACTGCATTGGTGAGCAGTCAGCATGTTCTCTTAGACAGGTTTCCAGGTTTCCGTAGATAGGCATTCTCCAGTCAAGAGTCTTGCATTCATTAAAAAAATCAGTCCATCATCTACTCTTTGCCAAAATTAAGTCAACTTCCCTTTAGCCTGTTTCTCCCCTTATCCACCCTAAATATGACCAATACAATACAGTTCTTTTCTGCTGAACATCTGGCTCTTCTCTTTCCTGTCAACTTAGGGTCACACAGTAATTATTAATTGGGATCATCATCACAGGGATGATTCCTGGAAAGGGGAATCTTCTCCTTGCTCAAGATTATCACTCTAGTATAGTTGACCCTTGATTAGCATGGGGGTTAGAGGCAGAGATTCTCCCATGCGGTAAAAAATCCACATCTAGCTTTTGATTCCCATAAAAGTTAACTACAAGTAGCCTACTATTAAGCAGAAGCCTTACCAATAACATAAACAGTTGATTAACACATATTGTGTGTGCTAAATGTGTGTGCAATAAAGTAAGCTAAAGAAAATGTTTTTTTCAAATTGTTGCATATCTCCAAAATATTTTCTAATATATTTATTGAAAAAAATCTTTGTCTAAGTGGATTTGTACAGTTCACACCTTTGTTATTCAGAAGTCATCTGTAATACGGATGTGGTCATAACCTTACCAACAC